CATAGAACTTATACCACCTCACTCCCTCTGTACATATTACTCATTTACATATTGCCGGTCATCTCCCATCCACACACTTTTAAGTTCCATGAGATCAAGAACATTTATTTTGTTCATTGCTGAACCCCTAGTATCCAGAGCAGCGCCTTACACTTTCAGACTCTAAGATTCTGCATTCCATTAATATTTTATTAAATTTGAAGGCTAACAGTTAACTTCAAGACATCCCTAGTACAACAGCAACAAATTTCTTTCTGGAAGTACTTGCTCTAACATCTCCAGTATAAATACCTAAAAGACTTCCATCTTAGGCCACACAACTACCTTAAAAAATGGTAATAAGTTATGATTAAACAGGCAACTGATTTTTAAAAACTGCCTTAAAAATATCTTTAACAGTGCCTAATCACATCCCAGAGATCTTTTCTATTTAATAAATCTTAAGTAATGATCTGGAATAATAATCTTAAGTCCAAAGAGCTCAGATAATTTTGTGCCCCCACTACCTACTTAAAATACAAAGAGAAAACACAGAAAAGATGTGACCACTAGATAAGCAGAAAATGTAAATATTTATTGTTCCATTTCAAAATCATTATGCTGAGTGAAAGCCAAACACCATAGAGTACATTCTGTATGATTCTATTTATTTAAATTTCAGAAAATGCACACCAATCTACATTAAGAGACTATAGCTCAGTGGTTGGCTGGGCTGGGCTGCAGAGGACACGCTACAGACAAGAAAGAAGAAACTTATGGGTGGCAATAAAAATGTTGTGTCTTAATTGTTGATTTCATGGTTATGTGCATCTGTCAAAACTCACCTAATTGTACAATTAAAACTGATTCAAAGATAAAATACTTATTGAAGTTAATAAGATGAAAATGAGCTTATTTTTGTGATTACACATGATTGGAGAGCTTCTTATTCCCCAAGAATAATCAGAAAGATGAAGGAACTTACATGAGATTTCTTCCAATGACAAGAAAAGATGTATCTAGAGTGGGTTTAACGGGATATGAAGGTATAGGGGCACCTGGGTGGCTCAGTCATTTAAGACTCTTGATTTCGGCTCAGGTCATGATTTCAGGGTCATAGGACAGAGCCCCAAGTTGGGCTCCATGCTCAGCAGGGAGTCTGCTTGTATCCCCCTCTTTCTGCCCCTCCCCCCATTCGCTCACATGCTCTAAAATAAATCTTTTTGGGGCACCTGGGTGGCTCAGTCGTTAAGCGTCTGCCTTCGGTTGAGGTCATGATCTCAGGGTCCTGGGATCGAGCCCCGCATCTGGCTCCCTGCTCAGCGGGAAGCCTACTTCTCCCTCTCCCACTCCCCCTGCTTGTGTTCCCTCTCTCGCTGTGTCTCTGTGTGTCAAATAAGTAAAATCTTTAAAAAAAATAAAAAATAAATCTTTTTAAAAAAAGGGGTAAGAAGATATAAAGATTAAGACTGTACTCTTTCAAACCATGCTCATCAAAACAAGGAGTATAAAATCCTATCAAGTAATAAGAGCATGCCATTTTACAAATGAAAAAACAGACACAAGGAGTTCAACTTCTCCAAAGCCACAAAGTCAGTTTTCAGTTGAACTGAGAATCAAACTCAGGAAATTCTCATAACCCACTTTTCCACCTCAGACTGACTAAAATTTAAAGGTTGATAATATTTAAGTATTGGTACACTGCAGGGGAAAAACACATTCACATCCAGTTGACAGTGTATGTTGGCACCACCTTTTCAGGAAAACATTTTGGCAATACCAAAACTTAAAATAGAAACAACTCACTTAACTCTTTAAACAGCTAATCATCCCTCCCAGGAGATTACAATATAGAAATCTCTCCAACTATATTTTCAAGGATGCTGCTGTATTAATCAGCAAATCTGTAAACAATGTGAACCAGTAGGGAAAGACTAGATAATTTATGGAACATCATACCTGGCCATAAAAAAGAATAAAGATCTATACAGAGGTCTTGAGTAAAAGCCAAATTCTAGAACTGAGTGTGTAACAATTTAAGACGCAAGCACAGAAGTAGTTGGGGAAGGATTCAACAAAATATTTATCTGGAGACCAGGAAAAGTGTGGTCAGTGGAAAATGAGGATTTTCACTATTATCACTATTTCCTACACTATTAATTTCATTTTGGCAATTATAAATAACAAACTAAAATATATATTTTAACTACTACTGACGTTGAAGACAAATTTTGAATGAAGTGCTGACTATTCTGAATTACATTTAAATAGAAAACTAGGTATTTTGGTTGATTTAGGGAAGAACATACACGGAGGAGATACACAGAAACTTAAATAAGTTTCTTAATTTCTATAAAGAATGACATTATGACACTACCCTCTTTTAAAGCTATTATGCAGGTATTAAGAAAATATTTAAGTATTAAGAAGATAACCAATTAGGCTCTCTTAATTTATGAAATTCAGGAAGACCTAACCTAGGAATCTTCTGACCTACTCTTCTGTAACGCTCGATGATGTTTATACTAAACTACTTACACTGGACCCAGCTGTCAAGAGTAAATGCCCACATTTACAATCTATTATTATTCCCTTGCTACACAGTCTCTAAGAAAACTGTTTTTCTAAAAGGAAAAAGGCCCAAAATGTAATAATCTTATGTAAGACATATTAGGCATAAATGAATTCCTGAAATGGTTTTAATAGGAACATGTAAGTCCTTGGCAATTTCTTAATAAATTCCTAAAATTTGTAACACAGATTTTTCTTTAGCAGAAGCATATAAATACTGAAGAGGAAAATAGGTCCTTTGGGGGACAATGATCTGGGACCGTGACAAAATATTTAAATAAAGAAATCAAATACTGAGTTACTCCTTCAAAGTAGTGTTATTACTTAAAAATGTTACTCATAGCACTGGGTGTTATACTCAACTGACTACTGAACACTACATCTGAAACTAAGTATATACTACATGTTGGCTAATTGAATTTAAATTTTTTAAAAAATGTTATTCATATCATAAATTGAGGTCTTACTATATAAAAAAAGGAGCTCTACCAAAAACTAAATGGAGCCCCTTTTTAATAAACCCAAAATGGTTAATTACAACTGAATATGTAAAAATATAATAACATCAATAATCCTTTGAGAATGTTCAAACTGAAGTATAGCTCCCTTTATAGGTTCATAAATAAAGGTACATAAACATTACCACAGTGTGGTTTAAGCTGGGTTGTTTCAACCCTACTGGTGTTTTATGGACATAATTCTCCAAAATATGTTCCTGTAACAAGTACTCACCTATAACACTCTTTCAACAGACAATTTTACAGACTATTTTGTGCCATGTATCATGCTAGGGACTGGCTATGGCAGAAACACTGAAAACCACTTTACAGTGGTATTACAATGTACATTTATTTCCTCTCACACATTGCAAAAAGCAAGTTTGGTATAGTGAAAAGAATACTGACCTAGAAAAAAATATGGTAATTACTGCTGCAGCTACTTACAACTCCTTTTTAATTTTCAGAGTAACAGAACCATGTATTATATACAACCAAACCTGATTCAGAAAATAAATTGGACTATGTAAATATTTTAAGTTTTTTTTTAATTAAAAATAAAAATACAGTATTTCATTACATTTTTAAGGCTCCCGAGGCTCATAACCACCATTAGAAATAACAAAACACTCTTAACCTAAAAAGAAAAAAAGAATGCTGCAGACCCTTATTTATATTAAAGCTGTTGGGGTGCCTAACTGGCACAGTCGGTTAAGCATTCGACTCAGTTTCGGCTCAGGTTGTGACCGGGGTGGTGATGAGGGTTGCGAGATCGAGCCCCACGTTTGGCTCTGCGTTCAGCGCAGTTTGTTTCAGACTCTCTCTCCTACTCCCTGCCCCTCCCCCCAAAAGAAATAAATCTTAAAAAAATAATATAAAACTGTTAGTGCTGGAATTATAAAATCCTCCACCAAGTCACAGATTCTTTAAGAATTAAAAAAACGGGGGTGCCTGGGTGGCTCAGTTGTTGGGTGTCTGCCTTCGGCTCAGGTCATGATCCCGGGGTCCTGGGATCGAGCCCCACATCAGGCTCCCTGCTCAGCGGGAAGCCTGCTTCTCCCTCTCCCACTCCCCCTGCTTGTACTCCCTCTCTCGCTGTCTCCGTGTCAAATAAAATAAAATCTTAAAAAGAAAAAAAAAATTAAAAAAAAGTACAAAATTTTCTAATAAATTTTAGCCTTTTAAGAAATAGTCTCTACATCTTCTAGAAGAATATTTTTCATTTTCAAAATGTACCACTACCTCTCCCAAAAAACCCAAAACATTCGGGGTGCCTGGCTCAGTCAGTGGAGCATGCAACCCTTGATCTCAGGATTGTGAGTTCAAGGCCCGTGCTGGGTGTAGAGATTACTTAAAAATAAAGTCTTAAAACAAAACTCCAAAACATTCAAATGATATACAGGATTTAACTGCCTTTCTAACAAAGACTATATGTTTATTAGCATCTCCTTGTAGGTCTGCAACCCTAGGTCTTGTTTTACAGATAAATATCAGTTTTTCATACTGAGAAGCTACCTAAACTAAGAATTTGTGTTTGCCTTTTAAGAGCTCTGCAGAGGTATTAAAGACTTTAAAAAAATAATTAAGCACATAGAAAGCCCCCACCAACTATTTTACAGACTTCAACCATATTTTCCCATTTTAAATTTTATCTGAGTATCTTTCTGTTAATCATATATTATTAAAACAAGAATTCAAATACCAAACGATAAAAGATGTTTTAAATAACTGTGGCAAATTCTAATCCTTTTAAGAGTACTTGTGTATTTAAAACATTTTATTAAGGTGTGAAAGGGAAAAAAGTTTTACAGTCAAAGATTTACTGACATGATTATCAGTGCTTTCAATTAGAGTAAAACAAATCTTAAAATATGCATTGAGAGTTAATTACTCTTCATCTTAATTTCCTTTCATCTGAAATCCAGAAGTCATGTGTGTCCACTTTAGGGAAGATTTATATAGGAAAAAGTTTATTAGAAAAATAAACAACTTTAAATTTTACAATATTTTCCACTTCCAAAATTCTTTTATATAGAGGAGATGTGCCTTATGATTTAAACATAATCTGATTTACAAAATCTCATTTAGTCCTAAGGATACAAAAACGCAAATGGTGAAATGTTGGTAACTATTAAGAAATTCAATGTAAAATTTTTTTAAAAACACCATTTGTTGCAGGTACCTAATATAGCAATATTTACTGAAAAGTATAAATGACTTTCACTGAAATTTACTGTACTGGCTTATTACCAAATTAGTACTATAAGATTAAAATGTAGATTAATTTGTGTGGCCTAGGTTTATTTTTCAAAAATTTTATCGACTATACCGGGAACTGGCAAATTTTTCCTTAAAAGGTCAGAGATTAAGTATTTTGGGTTTGCAGGCCTTACGTTCTCACTACTCAACTCTGCCACTACAGGGAGAAAGCAGTCACAGACAACACGGACATGAATGGATACGCCTGTGGGCTGCAGTTTGCCTGCTGCTGAACTATACAATGGATTCTGAATAAGAGACTAATAATTTCAGGTGCCATATTCCAAATATGTCATATATGGGGGTTAAGAAGGAAGAATATAAATGGTAAACATCACTAAATGAACTATTTTTGGTTAAAATTTTCACACTTATTTCCCAATCTTAATTGCATGTGTGTATACATGTATATATACAAGTTATAAAACTATTTCATTTTAATTCCATATTCTTTTTGGTGTGTTAATATATAGTATCAGACCAAAGTCAGATAAGCAGCAAAGTACCATGACTGATTGAGTACTCAGAGGCTAGCTAATCAATAACCATGAAATTTGATTCTGACATCTAAATATTTCCAAACAATGAAAAAACTAATTTATTTGCTGTGCCCTTAAAGAAAATATGAGATGTGTATTTCAGATGTCGTTTTAAAATTTAATTGAATTGTTACAATTCTGAAGCTAAATGTGATTTGCTTTGTTTTATTAGAAAAAATACTCAGGCAAGGTCTACAATCATCGGTCAATTAAGAATGACTTACAAGAACATGAGGCAATAAAATAAAAAATACAGGTACAAACTATATATCTGAAACACTTCTATTTGGCAATTTTATAACAAATCAAAATTTTAAAAGAACAAAGGAGATTGCAGATTACTTCGTAGATACAGAATAAAGCAATTGATGAAGTGCTTAAGCAAAAGAAAACAAAAAAAAAGTAAAACACACTGCTTTTCTCTTTTCAAAAATAAAATCACATTTGCTACAGATCAAATGGATAATACCCTTATTAAACAACCATTCCAGAATGTCTTCTAGTAGCAGTGCTTTTATTTGCACTTCATTTAATTTTATGACTCATTTCATGTATATAGCTCTTTAACCCCACTGTTAACGAATAAAGTCTCCCATAATTATTCTTTTTAAAATTTTTTAAAGTAAATGAGAAATGATTTATGTATCATGGAACCTTTCCCATTTTGGAACCAAAGGCTTAATTCTATATTTTTGTCTATTCTTTTCTTTAAAAAATTTAGTGTAAAAATTGCTGGTTTTTCTATCACTGTAGTAAAGTGAAAACTCCTCAATCAGGAGTATTTTCTGCAGTTTGACTGCATATAACCACATATACTTTACAATATGTCCTTCCAACAGTAAGGAAATAATTGATTTCACGGTCACTGTCAGAAATGAGTGCCATAATTCTATTATGGGTATAGGTCCTCCCTCAAAGACTTTCTGGAAGGATGTTCAATGTGTTTTGTTCTTATAGATATTAACAGTAGTACATAGTCCCTTAAGTCTGCAAAGACATTTATTGTTAAAGAAGGTGCTTTATTAACAATTCCTCTGGCAGCACTAGTGAATTACAATATCCTTCAATATTATTTCTACCCATAATATATACATTTAACTTTCATGCCTCTAGAAAAACATCTACAGTACATTTCATAATATAAAAATATATTACAAATCTGCTGAATTATTTACAAGCAATGTTCTATTATCTCTATGCAACATTTGTTTGATACAATACTAACAAGTTACACATATTTCCATTTCTGTAAGTTAAAAAAAAAATCCATATGGCTTCTTGCTTACCAAGCAAGAAAGTGATTTTATTTTCCTTTTCAAAACCAACTTTGGTGCATAAAGGATTCAGTTTGAAAAAGCTTAAAAAAAAAAAAAAAAAAAGAATACAATTTTTCTTATGTTAAGAAAAAACAACTCATAAACCAAATGCTTTCCTCAGAAAAAAAAAAAATTAGAGGCTTATATAGGTTAAAATGAAAATATGAGGATTATTCAAATAATTTGAAATAGAGGTTTTTCAAAAACCGTTAACAGATTAGTTATATAGGTAAATATTAACATACTGTACTCCATGAGAAAACCCTAGTCCTGAAAAGGGAGCCACCAGACATACTGCAACACTCTTTAACAGAAATTTTCAGCCCTAATTCGATAGACGAATTTTTAGTTGATTGCAAATGTCGTTCACTGTTTGCTTAAATACAAATTGAACACTTTTCTTATCAGAGTTCTGCAAAAGAACACAAATGGCAACCAATCACATCTATTTATCATAATTGAAAGGTAAATTATCTCTTGATAATTTTCATTGTCTAAATATTTCCTAATATGACTTCAAATCAATAGACACTGTCAAGACAAGTATCCTTACAGTGCTTTTGGTATTTTTAAGGGCACATGTTGTAATTGTTTTCTTTCCAATATAAACTACTATAATTGCTAAAGGGGGGAAAAAAAAGCAGCTTAAAGCAGCAAGCATGCAAAGCCTTTAAGAAGCTGTTCCACTAAGTTGCCAGAAGAGTGTTTGCTCAGTCTCCCACAGTACCATTCCATGAAAATGTGGATATACAGTAATATATTAATATATTCCACAGAAGAGCCTACTTCATTCACAGAATGTTTACACTAAGCATAAATATTATTCTAAATACTGGATTTAAGAAAAAAAAAAAGGAAAGGGGTTGACTCTAATGTGCAACTTTTACTAAACCCATTGTCAGTGACTAAGACTGCAGGTGTCCCCGCTTGTTTGCTTTTTATGTATTTATTTATTTTTTACCTCTTCAACCTCTTCTGCGGCATTGTTCTAAAAAAAGAGAAAAGGAATATTCTTTTATTCAACTGAATGGAAACACATTAAGTATTACAAAAGAGACATTAAAAACATTAAATAAGATATAGGCAATGTGATAATCATTGATCATTAAAATTTACTTCCAAAGCATTCACACTTTAATGGATGCAAACTCAGTTACATAATACAGCTTTTTAATAAATCCTTTTTATGTAACCTGATTCTGAAAGAGATTCTCATGCTTAACACATTAACACTTTAACTAGGACTTTAAAACTGATGCTTAAATCTTAAATAAATTATGTTCTTTTTAGTTTCATTTTGAAGTTAATATGTTTTTGGAAAGTTTGTCATGCTTTCATTTTGAGATGTGTATAAGCCACAAAGTAATTCTCCTAAAATTTTGAGATGTGTATAAGCCACAAAGTAATTCTCCTAAAACCAAGTTAGAACAACTGCTTTTTTACCTAATTTCACAAGTTTTCAAAATCAAAACACAGCCCTTGCTCACATGTTACACCACAGCAAATGTAGCCAGTTCTATTAATCTGTACCACTTGAGGAAAGACTCAATTCTAATTTCCGGAACAGTAGAAGCATGAAAGTTTAAACTCAAAACTAAATGTTAAGACCCGGGCAGGGATTGGACGAGGGGGTGAAATACAGTTAAAGAAAATTAACTCCACAGATGCATTTAGTATGTCTTAAGAACATTTTCATTACCCAAAAATGAAATTCCTAAGAACTGTAGATGTACACTTTTGAGAACATGCAATGGAATTCCTACGCCCTTTTGGAGAGTAGTTCTGCACCTGAATTTTTTTTTTTTTAAGTCACTAAAAATATTCACTAAAATATCTAATTTGCTTCCTATATACACAAGAATTACAAAAATAAGCTGGTCTGTGAAAAAGGAAGACCCTTAGAGAGGGGGAAGTAGAATGCAGGGCAGAAACACAGAAGTTAGTCTGAATCTTATAATTAAGATTCATGCCCCTTTGTCAACCCGCTGCCTAAGGGATGTTTACAACCAGTTCTAATAGCAGGGTGGCTTTCCCAAAATATCACTCTTTTAGAATGCTAATTTTAATTACTACCTTCAAAGAGTAATCAGAAATAAACCCTAAATTAAGTACCAGTAAATAAAGAATATTCAATTATTTTTCTTATAAAGAGAAAGGTAAATCATGACTTTTCCATATTTTTGGTAGTGGATTTTCTTCAATCTTCTCCTTTAAGGTAATTTCACTGTTTACTATGCTAGTTAACCTCTTGTTAACATCGTTCATCCCACAAAAAAACAAGTTTTTATGGTACTTATTATTAGCACCTTCATCAGAAGATGTTTAAAATAAATTTGGGAGGGGAGTAGGGAAAACTCAAGTCTCAATGTTTCCACATGGCAAGGCCCATTATGTTAAAATTTCATTCTCAGAAGATATCTCCAATTATAAGAAATCCTATTATACTGAATAACATTCCAAAAAATTGAGTCATAGAATGAACAGAACCTTCAAAGTGTTTAACTGCTTCAGAATTTGGCATAGGTCACAGTCTCTTTATGATAGCTAAAATTCATATCTGGGATTATCAATTACTATATGCTATCTTATTCTTATTCAACCTATCCCTATGCAAAATATGTATCAAATTAAAATTGATTTTAAAAACACAGGAAGCTTGCTCATGAAGAGTGCTTTTTAAGCATTTTCACCACTTTCTGAATCACCCTAGTATATGTTATTTGGATGGAGGCAGTAAGGAGAGTTCAGTCACATACTATCTGTGTAACCTTGGGCAAGCTACTTAAACTCTTGCCTCAGTTTTCCAATCTGTAAAACAGAGATAGTAACACCTACTTCACAGGCTGCTGTGAGGATGAAGTATATGTAAAGCACCTAGCAAAGTGACTCAGCACATAGTCAGAAATGTTGGTCTCTTCTCCTTCCCCCCCTATACCTTCATAAGCACAGCACACTAAAACAAAGGTCAGATCAGAAAGTTATTAGCAACGTGAACACTGAGCTACCTCTTAAAAACAAACACAACAATATTTAAACTGCTCTACTAAAAAGTTTGGGTGGAGTATAAGTTTAAAGATTCAACTATTTATGGTATTTTAGGGCAATTGGGATATATTCCCAGACCTACAGAAGTCTGGTATTATAGAACGAATTACATACTTAAAAAAAAAGGCACTTATTTTCAAAATACTATATATATTACAATCTAAGCTACATAAGATAAATCGGGAAGTAAAGTGGCATATAAACTTTACCAAAATATTATCTTTCTGGATCCTACAAATTTATAAACATTTGTGATGGAATTTCCATATACAAAGCTCCAGAAAGCAAACTATGCTTGGTACTGAAATTCAGTACTTAAAAATAAGTCCTAACCTTATATCCAAAATTTAGCGAGATTTAAGATTACAATTCAAAAAGTAAAACATCAAATCAAGAATTAAATTACCTGTATATGTTTGGATCCAAAAGCAAGGCAGTATCTTTGGGTAGCTTTGATAAATGAACTACTTTAGTTTTTAATTGATGTCGTTCACTTTCATTCACCCACACGTCAGGCAGACTATGAATTAAAAAACAAGTCATAAATGAAATAACATTAATCTTAAGCTTACTCTTCATATAACTTCACATTACCTAGACTTTTCTGCTGGGTTAACAAGCTTTTCAGGAGCCAAGAATAGCAATGGGATGCAGAGCCTCAGCTAAAAAATGGCAGTGAAATTTCAGGCATGAATTTGCGAATGAGTCAGGAATTTTTGGTGGCAAAGCCATATCAAACTTAGAAACACGCATTATAAAACAGTCTTTTAATTCACTGAGTAAAATTCATATTTGAGCTTGACATTTTGACAATGAGCTTTTTATTTTTATTTTTTTATTGAATTACAGTTGACTGACTTACAATGTTATATTAGTTTCAGGTGTACTACATAATAATTCAACAATTCTAGACATTACTCTGTCACTATATCACATTATTATAGTACTACTGACTATATTCCTTATGCTGACACCAAGTTTTTTAATGAAGAAATAAGTAAACACTCCACTAGATTAAACCCCATGTAAAAAAATGCACATGTGATCATATCCTGAATGCAAAGAAAGCTAATCCTACCAGGAAATTCAAACAAAAGCATTCTGATATTTGGACTGATCAATTTCCAAAATACTAAGAATACACATATATTTCAATATATCTTAAAGGAACTATGTTTATAACCCTATAATATAAAAAGAGCTCTTACAAATCAGTATGAAACAGGTGAATACTCATTGGGGAAAAAGGGACAGGGGAGACAAAGGACACAACCCAAAAAATCACCAAAGATTAAAAAGTTTAAAAATTATATGTAATCATAGAAATACAAAATTTGTGATAATAATCAATGTATTAATAGTAAGCCAGAGAAATAAGCTCTCTAATGTAGTAAGTGGGATTATAATTGACACAAACTTTCAGGAAGGCAACGTGTATCGAAAACCATTAACATTTTGCAGTTTGAGTATTGATTTTAATAGCTCTTAACAGCAGAGAAAAATGGGGAACTTTAATGTTTCAGCTAAAAAGGAGCTCATTAAATAAATTTTACAAAGCCATTTCAAAATATTTTACAGTAGCATTTCCACAAAACCTGGGTGGGGAGGGGGGAAAGTGGTAGAAAATATGTTCTACATTAATAGCAGTTTGATAGTCACAGATTAAAAAAAAAAGCTAGATTTCTTTACCAATATGCTAGCATGTATTGTAAACTCCCAAATCTATTTAAGAACTCTTAATTCATGGGGCACCAGTGACTCAGCCCGTTAAGCATCTGACTCTTGATTTCGGCTCAGGTCATGATCTCAGGGTTTTGAGACAAAGCCCCACGCTGGGCTCCACACCCAACGTGGAGCCTGCTTAAGATTCTCTCTCTCCCTCGGCCCCTCTTTCCACCCCCTCTCTCTCCCTTCTCTTATAAAAAAAAAAAAAAAAAAAAAGAATAAGAACGCTTAATTCACGTCACATTCATTAACATCTCCTTAGAATGAGAAATTATAGAAAGGTATTTAATAAAGACAAATGTTAACCACATACTATTGATTTCTGAAAAACCAAGTATACACGAGATTCCATCCACTTAACTTTATTCTATTCTTGGTATTTACTTTATCCAAAATTTCTATGATATGCTTTCATTACCTTTTCTAACAAAAAAAAATTTTTAATGAAAAGATAAAAGGAAAATTGAACATGAAATGTCTGATTAAGAGATGCCTGGGTGGCTCAGTTGGTTAAGCATCTGTCTTCAGCTCAGGTCATGATCCCAGGATCCTGGGATGGAGCCCCACCATCAGGCTCTCTGCTCAATGGGGAGCCTGCTTGTCCCTTGCCCTCTGCCCCTCCCCCTGCTTGTGCTCTGTTAAATAAATAAAATCTTTGGGAAAAAAAAAAGAAAGAAGGAAAAGAAAGAAATGTCTAATTAAGGAGCATCTGGGCCAGAAAAACATAACCTGCTAGAAAACTAGCCAATTGATTTTTCTTTAAAATATCATTGTGTGCTAGAAAACATTTAGAAATTTTTTAAATAAACAATTCAAACAAAGGCACAACTAAGGCTGCTTGCATACCACCTAAGGGTCATTGAAAAATCCTAAAAATAATCACATTCTAAAAATGATGCTATTACAACTTTTATTAAAAACAGTAAAAAAGTCTAGTTGTAAAGCTTATACCTTGACCCAGGTACTTTCACAGATTATCTTTTCAGTACTGACAAGGCAAAATGTTTTGCAGTTTAATTTCTGTAATTCTTTTATGATATTCAAATCTAATAACTTTAAGTAATTTTTTAGTATAAAATTTCAATAAAAATAAGTCTATTCATTATACATAGTATTCCAAATACTTACATGTCTTCAGGCATCCAATGAAGCAAAAGTTTTATCTTTCCAGAATCCTCTTTTCTCTTAGCTATTACCTAAGTAATGATATAAAAGAGATCATAAAAATGATTTGAACATTATTTTAATATATCAATAAAACGCACTTTTGATCCTAATCAAGATTTTTTAAGTGTTCATATCCTAGACCATTTATTACTACAGTATTTTGTTCTGACCTGCTTTGAGAAGCTTCACCTTTGATAATGTATTTTCACAAAAGAAAAAGAGAAAAAAGGAGTTGAAGTTTTGCATTGCCAAATACTAACACCATGTTAACTTTATTAAGGGACTGAAAATGCTATTTATTTTACTATCAATTAAAGTCTGAAGATTAGCTAGATTGCCAACCAAAAATCCGTATTGGCTGGAATATTCTTTTTTTTTTCTAAAGATTTTGTTTGTTTATTTGACAGAGAGAGACACAGCAGAGAGGGAACACAAGCAGGGGGAGTGGGAGAGGGAGAAGCAGGCTTCCCGCTGAGCAGGGAGCCAGATGCGGGACTCGATCCCAGGACCCTGGGATGACCTGAGCCGAAGGCAGACGCTTAATGACTGAGCCACCCAGGCGCCCCTGGCTGGAATATTCTTAAAAGAACAAATAAAAGAGTAAAGAAAAAATAACGACAGCTGAGATAGGAAAAGTCTCTAATTTATGACTAAGATATTTATTGTTTGCTTGGATGTATCTGTTTGCTGGTTTGGTCTGTGTTATTTTAAATGAAACATTAGCCGATCAGTGTTTAGGTTCAGTTATAAGGAATCTAAAGATCAAAGTTAAATGGTGGATCAACCTGAATAAAAAGACCAAATAATATAAAACATAAAAAAAACATACTTAACATTCATTACCAGATTCTGAAAATTTAAGGATAACTGACCAAATTTGTTATTTTATCTCTTAAAAGGTTGTAAGAGATACATAATACTCCATATTAACAAAATTAGCACTTTAGTGTTCTCATAATCTAAATCTCAGTATTTTTACCAAGTTTAAGCAGCAGCCACCTCAAACTATATTAAAACTAAGTAAAAACAGCACTTTATAAAAAAACACCTCTATTCCCATTATTTAAAAACGAACTCTAACTCTAGACTTGGCAATGAGATTAATTTAAGAGCCCAAAGACAGATCTGAAGATGCTGAAACAAAATACCTCTACAAAAAGTAAGACATGAAAACAATGCAAACCAACCAAGCACAGCAAGCCAACTGACTGGTAACTAGGATTCTGCTGACCTCTTCTGGAGAAGGCTCAAAAGAAAACGTTTCAATTAAAAGAAGACAAATTAGGCCAACTGCACAGTATGTACCTCACAACCTATTTTTCTGCAAACTGTTTCATTATCAGTATGGTTATTTCCCCTAATTGCTTATTTGGTTGCTAGGAAACCTAAATTTGCAGTTAGTATTGAATAGTCTGCCTACTAAACGAAGTGATTCTATTTAACACATACCACCTCCATCAAAACCTTCCTAGTCATGGAATTTGGGAGGTCCACCTAACCCCTTTCTTTTCTATTGTGTCCAATGAAGTACCTTTTCCCATACTGTTACCTCTTCCTTCCACTTTCCTCAGGAAAAAGCACTCCTCAGATTACACTCTACCTTTGTGGCTCTTCCTCAGTTCAAGGTAATTAATGGATCCCTGATGTGACTTCAGGGTGCAAATCACTCTTATTCGTTAGTTTTTTATTGTATGGCAAACATTAAGTATCATGTTCTTAAAACCTTTCAGATATTCTGTACAGCTAAAAAACTGATTTTCATGTTCACAGACGATTTTGACGCAGTGAATTAAAAAAAATTTTTTTCCAGACTCCTAATATCACCACTGTTTTTAGTTCCTTCATTCTTTTGATCATCTCTCTTCCTCCCATGGTGAACCTAAAGATTTCATCACAAGAAGTTGCTCTAATGAAAGCATGTGAACACTGGTGCTTCATTTTCAAAACACAAGCTTATTCACTGTCACCATCATTATTCCTTAATATTCATGATACTTGCTCATTACTAAACCATTATTTCATCAGATCTATTGCCCTTTAAAATCAGTGAAAAGCCCCAAACCTCATTCCTTACACTTCCTTCTCTATTTATACTTAGTTCCTAGGTGATCATATCCAGTCTGATTCCTTGAAATACCACTAATATGCCGGAAATGTCCATATTTGTATCTGTAGCCACACCTCTCCTCTGGGCTCAAACTCTTACATCCATCTGGCTAAGTGAAAGAGGCAATAGATTCTCTATTGAACGTGTCAAAAATTAAGCTCTTGACATTCCCCTCTCCCTCAATCTGCTCTCCCCAAATTCTCTATTAGATGGCAACTCCATTCTTTTGTCCAGTTGCCCAGGCCAAAAACAGTGGAGTAATCCTTTACTTTCATTATCAAACCCGACATCTGATCCATGCATAATTCTGGTCAGTACTTTTTTTTAAGATTTTTTTTTTTTTTAATTAGAGAGAGAGTACGAGCAGGGGGAGCAGTAGGCAGAGGGAAAGGGAGGAGGAGCCCGATGCGGGGCTCAATTCCAGGACCCTGAGATCATGACCCGAGCCAAAGGCAGACGCTTAACCGGTTAACCGTCTGAGCCACCCAGGCGCCCCATGGTGAGTAGTACTTTCTAAAGATATTCAGAATCTAACAATTCTTAGCATCTCCACTGTAACCATTCTGGCCTTTTCTCACCTCAGATACTAAAAAGACTGATCCTCTTTTCCCATCCTAACCTACATTGTTTTTAACACAGAAACCCAAGTGAGCACATTAACATCCATATGAGAGGAAAGAGATCAGTGAAGTTTTACACTAGAAAACTTTTGAGTGATGGAAATGTTCTATATCTTAACTGTGGCGGTGGTGGTGGTTTCATAGATCAACTGTCAAAACTCATAAAACTGTATACTTTAAATGGGTGCAGTTTATATTTATTATACCTCAACAAAAAATTACCAAAAAAAAAATCACATCAGATCATGGCTACTCAAACTTCTTCAATGGCTTCCAATCACACAAAGAATAAAAACCAAAGTCTTAGTCCAAGAAGATTCTCCCCCTATTACCTCTCTGACTTAACTCCTACTCTCTGCCTTCTCGCATACTTGGCATATTTTCAAACATACTTAGCATATTCCTATTTTTCAATTTTTGTATGTGATTTTCCCTCTAGCTATGACGTTCATCCCCCTAATAACTGAATGCCTCATACCCTCACTTCCTGTAAGTTTTTGCAATTTACTACTATTTCATCTTATCATGTCTCTTCCACTAGACAGTTGTTTTAATGGTTTTTTTCACTGTTGTATCATTAGTATACAGTAGGTACTCAATATTTAAGTGAATGAACAAATGGGTACTAATGCCATACTTTGGGTCCGGTAACCACATCTTACTTACTGACCTTTGAAAAAAAGAACAATTATAGACCTACCATTTCATAAACCTATGTTATCAAACTTCAAAAGAGGATTTCAGGGCTGCCTGGGTCTTCAATTGGTTAAGCATCTGCCTTCAGCTCGGTCATAATCCCAGGGTTCTGGGATGGAGCCCTGTGTCGGGCTCCCTGCTCAGCGAGGAATGTGTTTCTCCCTCTCCCTTTGCCCCTTCGCCCACTTAGGCTCTCTCTCTCCCTCTCTCAAATAAATAAATAAAATCTTTTAAAAAAAAGTAACAACAACAAGGGAGGACTTTAACCATTACTGCTGAACGAGCACCTGATCTTGCTGAATCCCAACAGAATTCCCAATACAGCCATTTTAACTTTGTCTTCTCAAACTCTAATTTTCCTTTCAACCCTTTCATTCTTATTTAGATAACTGTATTTCCAACGTTTTTTTTAATCCAATGTTCTTTAAAAGAGAATAAATATGGTGCACCTTTCCTCAAACCCAAACTCACATCACATGCTCCAATCTCAGAAAAGGTCCCCTTGCTTTTGGTCTAATATTTACATTTCTTGCCCTTCATTTTGGCAATCATAATCAAAACTGGGAATATTTCACTGGAAGTATACGTAAAAGAAAAAGTGAAAATGCAATGCAATACAGTAATAGGAGATGTTATAGGAGATGGAAAAAATATTCAAACCAGTAGAGAAACTGGTATCAATACTGATTTTTTTAGGCAGCTCTTTCTGCCCACAGGTCCTGTCTCCGTGCTATACTAAAACCACATTTTTGCACCAATAATAGTAATAATAGATCTTTTGTATTTAATTCTTGTGCATTCTGACTGATATAAAAAATAAAACCTACATTTAGTATATTTTATATTTCAACAGTCAAAATTAAACAATCTCTTTTTCCAAGGATTCGAATCACCAAGGTCTGGTCTAAAATTTATCTCTAATAACTTACCTACACCAAAATACACCAATTTAAGGATGACTGGATAATAAAATGGCACGGGGCATGGGAATAAAGAACAACTCTCTGTTACCTCCTAGCTAACCAAAAATAAAAGTATTTATTGCTTTTTCAAATTTGACACTTGAAATTTGAATTTGATACTGAACATAGTCTTTCAAACAAATATACAGACTGCCTACTATATGTCAAGGCACAATTACAGAAATTTGGGATACATCAGTAGAATAAACAAAAAACTCCCTCCTTCACAAATCTTTAATCTGATGGCCGTTATCTTATTTAATTCCAACTTTAGATGTGTTCTGGGGGGTGAGGGGGGAGCATGTAAGCACTTATGGCTATGAGTTAAAAAGAGTCTAATATTCTAATTTTACAAATGAGGAAACCAGAAAAGACACCTAGTTAAGGTTAGAGCCTGATCTTCAAATGCCCACAAGCCCAAATGTCACCCCAATATTCCTAAATAGCTCAAATTAAAGGCTAAAATATTCAATTTAATCAACAAAATGTTGAATTGTGGAAAATACAGTTGACTCGAACAATGCAGAGGTTAGGACTGCCAACCACCCATACTATCAAAAATCCACATTTAACTTTTGACTCCCCAAAAACTTTACAACAGTCTATTGATCAGAAGCCTTACTGATAATAACATAAACAGTCGATTAATATATTTTACACATTATATGTATTATATACCATATCTTACAATAAAGTAAACTAGAAGAAAATATTAAGAAAATCATAAGGAAGAAAAATACATTTACAGTACTTTACTATATTTATTGAAAAAAAATCTGTGTTAAGTGGACCTGTGCAGTTCAAACCCATGTTAAGAGTTAACTGTATTTGCTTTATAACCAACAATACATGTAATTTTTAAAATATTGATAAAGCAGACTTTTGTGATTTTGTTAAATTATATTTTCTTAGATTTTGAGCAGTTTAGAAATATGATTGTGAAAGTCAAAATACACGTTCTTGCAAACCTACATTGATAATTAAAAAAAAAACAGTAACAAATACTTACAGTACTATGAAAAACAACACTGTGTCCCTTCCCTAAACTTTCTATATGAGCTGAGAGGTTAAAGCATATGGCTCGATGTCTTATCGCATCCAGTGTTTGTGCATCGAAGAAATCATGTGGTCGTGCTAAAAGTCAATACAAAAAGGTAAAGAATATTTAGAAAAATGTAACAATCTGCCAAGATTTTCCACAAAAATATGTAATAAGTAAGAAGGATTGAAACAATTAACATACGTATCTGGTATTTAAAAAATTTTATTTTGCTTTCAGAACATGGGGTCTAGCTGACAAGAAGGATACACAAAAGTAGACCTCCAACTAATGAGTGAATGTGGGTTTAACTATGCCCACTGGTGTGTGAGGTTCTAACCTTAGGCCTCATGATTCCACACTGCAGCTACTATCTTTTCCATATAACTTCATATTTTATTTCAGTACCTCCCCTGAGCACCAGTCCTGTATTTTCAACAATCTGATGAGTATCTCATCTATCAGTATGCTGAGATATAATTCACCACAGCCAAATATATAAAATACATGTTATGAATAGTCTATATTAACATGTGATCAAAAATTTTCCAAATTTGGGGCACCTGGCTGGCTCAGCTGGAGGAGCATAGGACTCTTGATCTCAGGACTGTGAGTTTGAGCCCCACGCTGGGTGTAGAGATTACTCAAATAAATTTTAAAAAAACTTTTTTTTCCAAATCTGAAAAACCTGTAATATTATTCTGGAGTTTTTGGCAAGTATTTTCTTGAATATAAATAACTCTTCTGGGGCTCCTGAGTGGTAGAGATGGTTGAGCATCTGACTCAGTTTTGGCTCAGGTCCTGATCAGTGTCCTGAGATCGAGCCCAGTATCAGCTCCACGCTTAGTGGGCAGTCTGCTTGGGATTTGCTCTCCCTCTCTCAAGTAAATAAATATTCAAAGAAAAAAAAAATAACTCTAACAACAATCTAAGAAAATTATAAATACAGTTTTCAGTGCCAATGAGTCTGCCAAAATTCTAACTCCCAACTCCACCAATTATTAGCTGTGTGACTTCAGCAACTGCTTATCTACTTAACCTGTTTCCTTATTTGTGAAATGGAGATACAACAGCTATAGACTATGATTAAGTAAAACAAATGCATATGAAAAATGTCTTAAATCACAAAGCAGTTTATATTAATAAGCTTATACTACTTTTTAAAATAAGTTCACAAACCTGGAGTAAGCAATCTCTTAGTGTTATCACAACAAAACTATACACTGAAGATTTAATTTGGTAAGAACATTTTTTAAATTTCTATTTTCATCCCACTAGTATTATTATAAATTATGCTATTTTTATTCCTAATAAGAATGTTGCTCAAAATAAGGAAAGCGAATTTCATATTTTACAATTGTGGAGCTTACTAATACATGAAAATTTTCAAGATCACCTGTAATTAAGAATTAAATTTTATTGACAATAAATGAAATGGCCTGATTTCCTGGTACAGTATATTCTGAATTACATGTATGCTGATTTACCACACTATTCTGATTTACTACATGAGGTGGATTTGCCTCTACTAATCATGGAGTTCTCAGAACATCTACACAAATCCACCAGAGCTTTTGTGGGAAATGTTTTCACCAGTTGGCATACTCAATAATGAATAGCTATTTTTTCACTGGACTTTTCTTCAAAAGGAAATAAGCAAAACATCAAGTATAAACTAGCAGAACCCACAAGACTAGGAATGCAACAGTAAATCAGAAAAAAATATTTGACGTTTATGGGACCAAAAAAAAAAAAAAATCAAAAGGAAAAACAAATCCCCTTCCTATCAGATTTGTGCCTACTGGGAGGAATAAAAAGTGTACTCTACTCTGTCCATGCTCTCCAAATACACTTTTTCCTGAGCAGGATAAACACTTAGAGGAAACAGAGAAACTAGAATAGTCTCCAAAGCAGGTCTGTGTCATGACCCATTAGGGGTCATGAGGGTAAGGGTACCCCATTAGGGTAAGGGAAGAAAATACTATCACTACTTTTGTTTTGCATCTTGATGTTTTTCAATATACCCTTCTTGGTAATTGCTTTATAATGTGTATCAGTAACATTATCTGTGCGCACTATGTAAGCACAGATGTTGGGATTGGGTGCTCAAGCATTTTTTTTAACTGATGAGCTATACAATCAAAAAACCTTTGAAGACCACAAAAATAAAGACTGTGGCTCAAAACTATACATGTTACCTGATTTCTTTTTGCCTTTTTGGTATGGTATTATGGATATCTCCGCAAGAATGGTATTATGGCCATGTAAAAGAGTATCTTTATTCTTAGGAAATGCATTCTTGTATGTTGGAATCAGGACAAAAAAGTATGTATGTAGGGAGATAAAGCAAATGTGGCATATTCTCTAAATGAAAGATATACAACTATTTATTGTACTATTCTTTCCACTTTAAAGTATGTCAAAATAGAAAAACTTTAAGATAAATTTTAAAAATTGTAGCAAACAGTAACAGCTACAGTTCTATTTGTTAATGTACTTCTCACCCAGTTAAGTGAAAATGACCTCTCTGAATTACGTGAAGAAGGTGCTATCAAAGTGATTTTAGTACTCTACTATAGACTTGTATATTTTTAAGGAAGGAATGGACTGCAATGGCAGCAGCTCTGCCATTCAAATCACAGCACTTAATAGTGGCTACTCACAGTGAAAGGTCTTGGATCTTTTAAAGTTCATATATTCAGGATTATCCTCATTCTCCCCCATTAAACAGGAAACAAAAAGATTTTTTTTCATCTACTACAAGACCTCCCTCCCCACCACTCTCCCTACGTAGCCCGTTTTATTAGTTAATATTGGAAAAAACATTCTCAAAAGAGGCCATAGACTTAAGCAGCCACGGGTCCCTCCATTTCTAAGTGAGGACTGGATACTTAACTGAACTGTTCTCTTTAGGAGAACTAGCACACTGTACAGGCATTACCAAGCAAATAATGTGAAAAAGTCAGTAAGTTTAGATGATTACTATGTATACTCTCAGAAGAAAATAATGAGGTTATTAAGTGGAATAGGTGGGAAAGTTATTCTCAGTTTTGAATACCATAATATATATTTAGCAATTTTCTGTGATTGCAAGCTACCCAAATCAATAGTCAAATAAAATAAACAGATGTCATTTCTGTTTTTATAAAATGGAAGGCAAAAGGAAAATGGATCCATAACCTAAATGCAATAGCCAACTTTGAAAAATACACCTGTTTATTTCAACAAGAAACTTAAGAGTTTAGAAAAGTTTGTCACCTATAATTTGTTCATTTGTGCACTGTAGCTTTGTAGTAACAAAAAAATGTTAACGTTCTAGAAACAAACCCTCTAGTCTGGTTTAGTGTCTGGAGTCTCTTCTATACCCTAATCAAATCCCAAGAGAAAGGAGGGTACAGCGCAATCTATTTTTTTCTTTCTAGTTCACCCTTGCAGTGGACTCCCCTTCAATGACAGCTGCAGTCAATCCTATTTCTTCATTTAGGACATATTTATTTGCCAGGTGACACTAAGAACCAGGGCCACTGCTAGGCTCTGGAGGTTCTAAGTCAATTCCTGCTCCCTGTATTTGTAAGCCTTATCATCTCATGTTCTATCCTAAATATTGAGGGTACATTTCATAATCTGGTAATTGAGCACATAAGAGGTGTTACAATAGACTTAAGTACTGAGACACGTACTACAAATGGTTTTTGCTATTCACACATACCGCTTTGGAGCAGACTAGTTACTTTTATTTCATTATTACCTTTAACATGTCCAAATTTTCTAAAATACCAACACTGCCATATTTTCAATTTTCTTATTTTAGAACAGAATCAAAGGAGCCGTCAAAATGTAATTCTATACAGATTGTATATTCTAAGGCCACATATACTTACCCTCCCTTAACTACTAAGATAAAACATACATCACACTGAACTCTCACACTGACACCCAAGGGATCCTATCTGTTTATTATTGTTGACAAAAACATACAAGCAGAGTTAAAGAACAGTAAAACCTGAATTCCATGAATGCCCAAGATATAAACAAAAGCTATCTAATACACATACAGATTTTCAATGAAACACTTACGTAATGAGCGTCGTCTTTTGTTCTTTAATTTTCTCCTTTTGTTCATCCCAGCTTTAGAAGGAGATTCTTCTTTGGCCTTTGGCTGGCTAGAAACCTTTGAGGAGTTCTGCTGACTGAAGTGTGTGGGCACATGGCGAGCTAGCCCTCCCTGAGAAGCAAAGCTGGCGTTGCAGCCACCAACAACACACTAAATAAAAATAAAAAAGGCTGTCAGGGACGCCATGCAGGGCACAAGTATAGTATGAATGAGGGAATATTTTGTCGTTTCAGAAGTAAATCGGTAACACTACAGAACTATTCCAGATAGGAATTATGAGAGACTACTACATCCTTTCTTTTTGTAAGTTGCCCAAAATAATACACACTAGGCAGTGGCAGAGCTGGAAAAGAAAACTCTATAGTTTCACAACTCTCCAGTTTACTGCGCTTCCCACAATCCACAAGACAAAAATAGTGATATGTTCTTCCCAGAAAAAATATGGGTCTTCAATTAATCACTCTCCTAAGAGAAACAGTAAGTTGTTTTTATTTATTTATTTTTTAAGATTTCATTTGTTTATTTGTCGGGGTGGGGGGACAGGGGGGAGAAACAGGCTCCCTGCCAAGCAAGGACCCTGATGCGGGACTCAATCCTGCAACCCTGGGATCATGACCTGAGCCAAAGGCAGAAGCTCAGCCAACTGAGCAACCCAGGTGTCCTAGTAAGTTGTTTTTTTTTTTTTTTAAGATTTTATTTGTTCATTTGAGACACAGAGATAGAGAGAGAGAGCATGAGCAGGGGGAGAGGCAGAGGGAGAGGGAGAAGCAGGCTCCCCGCTGAGCCAGGAGCCCGATGTGGGGCTTGATCTCAGGACCCTGGGATCATAACCTGAGCCGAAGGCAGACGCTTAACCATCTGAGCCACCCAGGCACCCCAAAGTTGTTTTTAAATCAAAGAATTAGATATCCTGGGGTGCCTGGGTGGCTCAGCTGGTAATGGCTCATGACCTCATGGGTAGTGGGATCAAGCTCCACATCAGCTCCGCGCTCAGCTTGGGATTCTCTCTCTCCCTCTCTCTCTGCCCCTCCGGCCAAACACACGCTTTCTCTAAAATAAATAAATAAAGCTTAGGAAAAAAAAAAGAATTAGACATCCTAACAACTACTTAGGACTCTTAGATTTTTAAAATTATTTTTATCTTAATGATATATACTACTTCAAGACATTTGGCAGCCTCCCTACTGTTCTACACTGTTTTAACAGGGAAGATAGACAGTGATACTTTTTTTTTTTTTAAAGATTTTATTTATTCACTTGTGAGAGAGAACAAGCAGAAGGAGAGGCAGAGGGAAAGGGAGAAGCAGACTCCCTGCGGAGCAAGGAGCCCGATGTGGGACTCAATCCCAGGACCCTGGGATCATGACCCGAGCCGAAGGGAGACGCTTAACCATCTGAGCCACCCAGGCGCCCCCTATTCCTTTTTCTTTTCTTTTCTTTTTTTAAGGATTTTATTTATTTATTTGTCAGAGAGAGACACGGTGAGAGAGGGAACACAAGCAGGGGGAGTGGGGGAGGGAGAAGCAGACCCTCCACCGAGCAGGGAGCACGATGTGGGACTCGATCCCAGGACCCTGGGATCATGACCCGAGCCGAAGGCAGACGCTTAACGACTGAGCCACCCAGGAGCCCGATACTGACTTTTAAACTACTAGATCCAGCTGCTCAGAGAAGACTTATGCCCAGGGTTGGTGTTATGCAACTCTCTATAAGTTCCGTTAAATAGTGCTCTTTAGCCTTCTGCACTTGCCAAATTGAGAAAAGGTTAACTCTCCAAGTCCCCTGGCAGAGCACTATCCCACAATGAATGCAGAATGTTTGAATATCACTAAAAACATAGTACACAAATTAGCTATAGTACAAGTGTGTGACTTCTAACAAATAAATGTTACTAATTAAAACAAACACCATTTTCAAAATGATCCCCAAACAGCAAAATCCACAGCTGGATTTCTGGTGGCTTTTCTAGTAATAACTCATCCAATTTACTTAGCTTCTGACTTAACAACCAAACTCCAAGCATGCATATCGGTCCTGCTGAATACCAAATAAATCCATCACATTAGTCCTAAGTGGTTCAACTTATATTAGAATTTATCTAGATAATACCACAAAAAATCTACGTTTCCAGGCTCTTTCAATCCAGGCACCTTTACCATTTTAAACTTTTTTAAAAAAACACAATACAACTCTGTTGGTAGGACTCTGTTGGTAGAGATCGTACCTTTATTCACGAAGTCCCTCTAAATCTACCCAACTTTAAAAAAGCTCATCTTCCTGTGAGATGACACTGACACTTGACTGCTTACCTAGATACTTATCCCAATTCATCCTTTCTCCAAGCATTCTGAAGGCAACAATATACTTTTACGAATATATATATATATATATATATATCCAGAAGCACTGTACAAATCATAGCTATTTCTAAATATATCTGAAGAACTAAACTACTTAGAGATTCTGATAAAACTGATGCTGGCTGAAATATTTCACAGCAAGCTCCTTATACAGTGCCATTCATAATTATTCTATTTATTTTGATAGACAAGAGACATTTTATGGGCTCTAATGGTACTCAGCATTACTAATAAAAATCTTTGCCCATTCTAAGGTGCACACTAAGAGGCAGAGGAATGAGTCAAGGTTTTAGTTCAAATATTTATCTATTCTATGTACTATGTAAGATGCTAAAAGTAGGGGCGCCTGTGTGGCTCAGATGGTTAAGCATCTGCTTTCGGCTGGGGTCGTGATCCCAGGGTCCTGGGATGGAGCCCCACATCGGGCTCTTGGCTCAGCGGGGAGGCTGCTTCTGCCTCTGCCCCTGCTCATGCTCTCTGTCTCAAATGAATAAAATCTTAAAAAAAAAAAATTCTACTAGTATAAGAATGAATACTTAAGTTCCCACCCTTAAAGTGCTTACATGTGGTCAGTAAACATATGAAATGACTACTTCAACTACATTCAGGGGTAAAGGACAGAAAGGAGCAATCACCCCTATCCAGTGTTTTATTTTTATTTATTTTTTGTTTATTTGAGAGAGAAAGAGTAAGAGAGACTGCACGAGAGGGAGTAGGGTCAGAGGGAGAAGCAGACTCCCCACCGAGCAGGGAGTCCAAGGCGGGACTCGATCCCAGGACTCCAGGATCATGACCTGAGCCGAAGACAGTCGCTCAACCGAGCCACCCAGGCGCCCCCATCCAGTGTTTTAAAATTAGTATTTCATTTAATTCTTACAATGACCCTATCAATAGTGTCCTCAGAGAGCCTGCATCAAGAATGTTCAGCCACAGATTCTGACAATGAAAAGTTTAGCAACTAATGGTTACTGAATTCTCAGAATTTAAAAATTTACTATGTATATGTTGAGTGCCAAGAAATAATGCTTTAAAAATTTCCATCTCCTATGGGGCGCCTGGGTGGCTCAGTCGTTAAGCGTCTGCCTTCGGCTCAGGTCATGATCCCAGGATTCTGGGACTGAGTCCCACATCGGGCTCCCTGCTCTGCGGGAAGCCTGCTTCTCCCTCTCCCACTCCCCCTGCTTGTGTTCCTGCTCTCGCTGTCTCTCTCTGTCAAATAAATAAATAAAATCTTTAAAAAAAAAAAATTTCCATCTCCTATAGATTACCAATAGAACACTGTCTACTACAAAATCCACTAGGCAAATGTTGCTACTTAACACTTTAAGAATACTCTAACCAAGAAACAAAACTTTAATTTTATTTAAATTAATTTTTATTAATTGAGGTGAAATTCACAGAACATACCATTTTAAAATGTACAATTCAGTGGTCTTTAGTGCATTCACAATGTTGTATAACCACGAGCTAGCTCCACATCCTCGCCGACACTTGTTATTTTCAGTTTATTTTATTAAAATCATCCTAGTATGAAGTAGTAACTCACTGTGGTTTTTATTTGTATTTCCTTAATAACCATTTAATTAAAAAAAAAAAGTAATGTCTTTTTACTGTAACAGTTAAGACCAGCCCTTCCACTTTAACTTTCAATTTAATACCTGATACTCAATTTCACTACTGAAAAAGTTTTAAGTATATCTGAACAGCTTGGTATGTGAATCTACCTCTCCAATTGCAAATTTTGTGAAATTTAAATAAAGATGAAATGTTTAGCATCTGAACTGAGAATACTTAAGTAGAATTACCCTAATGGGTTAGTTTTACACTGTCCAATACATTTTAGGCATTGGACACATACAGTTAGTGAGCACTTGAAATGTGGCTATTCCAAATTGTAAAGAATTTTAAGTATAAAATACACACTGAGGGTACCTGGGTGGCTTGTAGGTTAAGTGTCTGCCTTGGGCTCAGGTCATGATCCCTGGGTCCTGGGATCAACTCCCTGCTCTGCGGGGAGTCTGCTTCTCCCTCTCCCTCTGCCCCTCCCCCTCGCTTATGCCCGCTCGCTTTCAAAATAAATAAAATCTTAAAAAAATAAAATACACACTGAATTTTGAAGATTTAGTACCCAAAAAAGCAAAAAATTTCATTAACTTTGTATACTGCTAAGATGTTGAAATAATAATGAGTTAAGTCAAAGATACTGCTTAAATTATTTTCATCTATTTCAATTATTTTAATGAAGCACTGGAAAATCTAAAACGATATACTTGGTTCACACATATTTCTATTATACAGTACTGCCAAAGAATAAAGCCATACAGTATTTATTTCTCTTACTTTTCAATTTTAGAAGATATCATCCCTGTATTTCCTAACACCTAGTTAAAAACATACATTGTCCTTTGTGGCCCTTGTGTCATGTGATTTAAGGAATACAATAAAATAAGACCATCTTTGCCCTGGAATTCCCAGTTTAATATTAGTTATTCAAACAAATTTGTTGAAAAACTCTGTATTTCAAATTTTAGAATAGTAACTTGACTACAATTAAGGCAGACATGACAGTTCACATCCAAGCCCTCAGGTTTAAATTCAGGACTTTGTGATATAACTCCACCCAGGAATATCCTTAAATATAAGAGTCCCAGTAGGGTAGCCGATTCATTTTGTCCCAGAATCCTTCAATACTTCAATGAACAGGCCCTCATAGCATCTAGAACTCAATAAATATCACAAGTGTATTTTAATCAGCAATGCTTCAATGTTCTGGAAATTAATAATGAGAAT